GTGTGTGTGTAGTCTTAAATCCCAGCATTCAGGTGGAAGTGGCAGGCGGATCTCAGAGGTGGAGACCAGCCTGGTCTACAAAGCCAGTTCTAGGACAGCCAGGGCTACCTAGGCCCTGTTTCAAAGAAAGCCTCTGATCAGGCAGTGGTGGCGCACGCCTTTAATCCTAGCACTTGGGAGGCAGAGGCATGTGGATCTCAGTGAGTTCAAGGCTAGCCTGGTCTATAAAACGAGTTCCAGGACAGCCAGGTCTGTTAGTCTGTTGTGCAGAGAAACCCGGTCTTGAAAAACAAACAAGCAAAGCCTCTGGGTGTATTTGTCTCGGGGAGCAATCATGGAAAATGCGTCTAACGGAGTGGACTCCAGCTTGTCCTCCCTTTGCCCTCCTCGTTGAAGCCGTTGCGCTCAGTGCCGACCGCACACCCCTTTAATTAAGGACTCAAAGTTGTTCTAAGAGGGATTTCTCAAGTCTAGCACTTTGTAGGTGGGGCACATATATACAGTGGATGCCCAGTAACTTGTGCAGACGAACTATAAAGTAATCAGAATATCTGTCCCACTCTTATGAACTAGTCTCTGGCCACTTCAACTACACCAGTGGGGAAATCTAGGAAGATTTCATGGAAGTTAGCAAAGGATTTGTAGCGAAACATCGCCAAACACTGACCCGCGCCTGACAGCGAGTGACCGGCAGGCCCTCCGTGCTTCCGGGCCAGCCCCAGGCTTACCTCTTGCTGAGCGAGCAACACCCTCCGCTCACGCTCCTTCTCCTCCTCCCGGGCCTGGGCCTCGTCGCGCCGCACGCGGGCGACATTGTCCTTGTTCCGGACGTGCCAGCTCTTCTTGGGCAAAATATTCATGGCTCCGTAGCCGACCTCCGACCAACAGGCCCACTCTCCAATACTTCCGATTGGCGCGAGGAAGCTCCCGCCCCATGGTCCCACCCTTGCCTGTACATTGGTTCTGGGCCAATTATCACGCCCACTCATGACCTATCTTAGAGGTGATTGGCTAAGAGGTACTCCATCATAGCCAATCCTAAACGTTTACAACCTGAGCTGCCCCACCCCGGACGCTGCTGTATGAGGTTGGTGATGCCCCGCCTGTCTATCCCGTCACGCAGACCCAACCCAGCCATTGACCAGGCCCCTCCCCAAACTCTGTCCAAGGCTTCAGGACCGGGTTTCAAAATGTATAGCGACCTCGGCTATTGTTTATTAATACGGTTCAACTGAGTGTGGTACTTGGTGGGAGGCCGTAGGTCTCGATTCTAGAGATGAGAGGATACTATAGGAAGTCACTGAGGTGTACAATCGGGTTGAAGGGCTGAAGGTGGGATGACATTTCCAGCCAGACTGGTCAGAGAGTTCTATTCGCTGAGCTTAGAGCCACGGCTCGCTGGGCTAGGAAAACTTTATTCTTCGCTTCCTGAGGGCAAAGGGGGATGGAAGTGAGACACACCTTTTCTTTACCCATGTCCTTCTTCCCATGTTCTCAGGGAGCCCTTCCCAGGGAACCACCCTGGCTCACCGTCTCGATCTGGCGTTTGAGCTCAGAAATGAGGCGTCCGTAAGAGTTAGCCAGGGCTACTGTATACGCCATCAGGATGCTTAGGAAAACAGGAATGGAAGTCACTCCAGGAAAACAAAAACTATATCTATATATATCTTCATCATATGGCTCCTTATAAACTTGGATCAGGACCCTCAAACCCCTCTTGAGACTCCATTCTCTTCTGCCTCAGACCTAGGAGTCCATACCTCTGCCCTCCTCCTTCAGATCAGGAGTCTAGGCTGCAGAGACCTCCTTTAGACCCAGGGTTCCAAACCCAGACTTCTTTTCTGAGGCCCAGGAGTCCAGACCCCCTCCCTCCTGCTCCAGATCTAGGTAGGCCCCAGTTCCCTTCCATTCCACATAGGTATCCAGGTTGCAGCCCTCCTCTCTAATACTTAGGTGCTCAGCCCCCAAATCACACATATCCAAACTCTGACCCTAAAGTCTGGCACCACTCACCAAGAGAGGATCAGAAGGGGTACAGCAAAAGCCTGGGTCCCCAGAAAGTAGAGAAAGTTCTGAGCAGTCTGAGGGAGGCTTTCAATGGACTCGGGGATCTGGACCCAAATAGACGACTTCCCTTGAAATGGGCCACACAGTTTAGAAGGTGGGATCCTGCAGGCAGAGACACACTGAGCTCAATCAAATAGGGCCAGAGTGAGGACCCTGTGATGAACGCAATGGAAAAGGCGCCTCTCAGACTTACAAGAAGATACTGTAAAGCACCGGGACAGCTGAGATTGCCAGACCCACAAGGAGCACCAGGGGGAAAAAGAAATTTGCTGTGGAGGCTCGGAAGGTGCGTGAGGCCGGTGAGTAGATGGAGAACAGCGCCATCTGCGGGAAGAGGTGAGAAATGGAGATCTGAGACCCAAGGGTCAGTCCTGTGGTTTCGTCTTTTCCCATCTTGGAGTTTGGGCCTCCTTTGAGGCCGGACCCAGAGGTCTGAGCCACCTCAGACATCTCAGATTCCTTTCTCTGGGCTCAGGACTCTGACTTCCAGCACACTTCTCCCTCCCTTGGGGCTCAGTCATCAAAGGCCGTGACATCCTTCTTTCCCTAACCCAGGAGTATAGCCCCAACACCTGTCGGCTCAGACCCCCGGATCGTCCTCAGCCCCACCTTCTTCAGACAGAAGAGTATCAGGAACTTGGCGGTGTTGATCAAAGGTAGTAAAGGGCAGAAAAAGCTTCCCACCCAGACCACGGTCTGAGCGTAGATGAGCCCCAACACCTCGTCGGGCACCTGGAACTCCAGAGTCCCCATCATACGACCCAATGCCCCAGGACAGAGGCCGCAGAATATCCTGAAAGGCAAGGTAGGGCAGTCATAGGCCTGGATGTTTTGGGGTCTTCCCAACCTTATCATCCAGCCCATTATTTTGTAAAGGTTTTTTTGAGACAGGGTTTCACTGTAGTTTTGGAGCCTGTCCTGGAACTAACTCTTGTTGACCAGGCTGGCCTCAAACTCACAGTGATCCGCCTGTCTCTGCCTCCTGAGTGCTGGGATTAAATGTAAAGGACTTTTAAGATCTGTGATCTATGTTCCAGAACCTGGTTTCAAAGTTACCTGATCTAAAATACTAAGAGTAGGAGTGGAGTCAGAGAGAAATAACTGAAAAAAGAGCGGGTGGGGATTTAGGTGAGGAAAAGGAAGTTAAAACTGTATTTGGGGGGCTGGAGAGATGGCTCAGTGGTTAAGAGTATTGCCTGCTCTTCCAAAGGTCCTGAGTTCAAGTCCCAGCAACCACATGGTGGCTCACAACCATCTGTAATGAGATCTGGTGCCCTCTTGAGGAAGAGACCTGGTCAAATTGTCCTCATCAACTCAGACCATGAAACCCAATAAGGACAAGTTCAACAGAACCACCAAATATGGGCTGCCCATGCACGCTTCGGCATCACCAGGGCATAATTTTTTTCAATTTTACTCCACCCCCCCCACATAATTAGAACAAGTAAATCTTTAAAATATATGTGTGTTTGTGTGTGTGTGTGTGTGTGTGTGTGTGTGTTAGAAGAGACGGCTCAGCAGTTAAAAGCATTTACTGGACAATTATGAGAACCAGAGTTAAGATCCCAGAACTCACTTAATAAGCCAGACATCCTGGCATGCTTGTAACTGAGAGGGCCAGAGGTAGGAAAATTGCTGGGGCTTGCTGGCTTCTTGCCTAGCTAAGAAAATGTGAATCCCAGGCTCAGAGAGAGAGAGAGACCACACCTCAAAGGAACAGGCAGAGAATGATAGAGGAAGACTCATCTGACTATCCCCCCCTACACACAAGCACACAGCATATGCTCACACAAACACGTATGCATACCAATAAATAAATAAGATAAAATAATAATAAAGAGGGCTAGAATATCTAGCTCAGTGACAAACTACCTTGTTTGTGTAAAGACCCCAGTTAAAAGAAAATTGGTAGGACAGAAAGTGAGAACTCTTCGACAGGGGCAGAGCTACAAGGAGGGGCAGGACACTTACTTCCTAGGAAACTGGACCAACAGCAAGACCAACAAGCCCACCAGCAGATCGAAGATCACAAGTTTGTACATCTCCTGGCCCAGCCGAGTCTCCCAGCACTGAAGAAGTAAGAAATCAATAGACCAGACCTTCCAACATGGAGGTTCAAGCATCCGATGCTCCAAATTGCTAGCAAGCATCAGAAGCCCCACTCATAAAGTGCATGGGTGAGGGCTTCTGTGTTTATAAGCAGCCATGCTATATTCTCTCTCTTCCCAAACCAACGATCCCTGTCCTACCTGTAAGCACAAGAATGCCCCCCATGCCCCTACAGCATTCTCACCGGAAGTTCTTCGTAATTGTAGCCACAGGCCTTGCATCTTTCTGCCTTCATGTTTCCCCCACATGTGATCTGATTCCGCAGAGAAACCAGGAGGAACACCAGGGAGAGCAGACGCAAAAGCACAGTCCTGTAAGATGAAGGTGGAGAAAGGGACTCACACTGCTGCCGTGCAGACCATGCTGCCCCCTCCGTCTTGATGCTCTCCCATGATCCCCTCCCATCCTCTCCCTGCTGCCTTCCATAGAGGAAGGAACTGCATTTCAGTGTCAGGATTTGAGTCTTGAAGACCCTGGTTCTCACATGCAGGGGACTTCCCTGTCATATACTTTTCATATGTGTGTTTCTGTACAGTTGTGTGCACACGACAAGTATGCCGGTGCCTGCAGAGGCCAGAAGGAGTCTCATCCCCTGGACCTGGATATTCAGGCAGTTGTGAGCTCCCTGATATGGTTGCCAGTGAACCAACTCCCAGTCCTCTCCAAGAGCCATCTCTAGAGCTCCGTTGTCTTCACACACAACACACACACACACACACACACACACACACACACACGTGCATGCCATAGTGAGTGTGTGGAAATCAGAGGATAACTTTGTGCATTCGGCTCTCTCCTTCTGCCTTTGCATTCTTTCTGGGGATGAACTCAGGTCGCCAGACTTGCATAGCAAGCTCCTTTATCCTCTGAGCCATCTCATGGGCCCAGACTTCTCTGTCTTATTTTTGGAACCAGAGACCCTCTCTCTGCCTGTCCCTTTCTCCCTTCTCCCAGAGTTCCCATCCCATCCCATGAGTCCAGAACCGAATCAGGATCCAGGCGATTTGGCGGCTGCGAGTGTAGCCCTCTAGTGAGGTGATGAACTTGAACACAATTGGCAGCACGAAGTTGAACACGGAGATGGAAATGGATGGAAGATAATCCACCAGAAGCTTGAGGAGGGGATTTTCTTGAACCACTGGTGTCTCCTGAGAGGGAGTGTGGAAGAAAGAAGGAAGGAAGCTGAAAGTCCGTCCTTACCCTCTTTTTACCTCAAAGGACCCGAAAATCCCAGACCTCCCTTTCCCAACCCTCCTAAGATCGCAGGAATTCTAGACCTCAGTTCTCTCTCAGTGCTTCACCCTTGGAAACGTGATTTCTAGGACCCGCGAACCCTCCTCCTCCAAGACCCTTCAAGACCCTTTGCACCTGCAGCGTCACGGTGTACTCTGTAGCCAAGTAGATGCCATAGAAGGCCGCCCCCAGGAGTGCGAGGATCAGCAGGTTGAGCAGAGCCCTCACCGACCACATCTTGACTCTCTGGCCCAGCGTCTGTTCCGCAGCACGGCGCCTAACCATGGCTTCCTCCAGCTCCACCTGAGGCCAAGCGGAAAGACTGCTGCCGGGGATAGTTCCCTCCAGGCCTAGTTCTTCAGATGGAACTGATACAGCCCTCTCCTTGCTCCATACCCTCCAGTGATGTCCATGGGACCACTTAGCTCTTGGGCCACTGACCCTCCCCAGCCCGAACTTGCATCCAAGGTCCACCCTTCTTAGCTAACCTAAGATCCCCAAACCTCGCCCTTTAAGG